TGTATGCATATGTGTGTATACAAATGGATGGACACACGTGCACACATGCATATACATATATATACCAACCTATCTCATACACTGATATCAGTGATAATTGTATTACACAGGACTAGTCTAAAACTAGGTCAGTAAGAAATTACACCAGTGATTTCTTTCCACTCAGATAACTCTCATCTCAATGTTATGAAGTGTCTCCTTTACTGAGTTCCTTAGAAATGTCATAAATCTTGTATTTATTGTGCTGAATTCAACATTTCAAGTTCATTCTTCTGGACTGATGTGTTGATCCTTCCAGTATTCTAGACCAGAGACTGGCTGGGCAAAACATTTTCCCACATAGTACCAGATAAGCTGAAGGTATGATTGTCCTATCTTCACTTTTATTGAATACCCAAACTCACAGTCTTACCTAAAAACAAAAGCAACATATTCATTTACCATGTATCCCATTCCCAGGTTATTCTTCTGTCTTCAATAAACAGTGCCCTATTTATTATGTTTTCATTTTACTTGCAGGGTTTAAAAAGTTTTTACTTTGTATTCTTTACTGGGCAAGTTTCAGTTTAACAAGGTTTATGATTGTTTTATGCCCCATGTTTTTTTCCCCATTCTTTAGAAGTCTGTGCTTGCTCTTAATAACCTACATAAGGTTTTTACCTTCAGGGAATTCTTTTTCATTCTTATTTTTTCCACTTGCTTGAAACATAAACATCAAATAGCTTTTATATTCTTTACTTAAAATAATACTTTGTCTTCTCTAACTTCTAGTGGTTCTCACACAAGACTATCTCACTCAACTTTTCCTTTTTCAGTGTTTGTCTTTCTAAGATACTGGACTGCAACTATATGTGTGCATTTTTCTATGTTACAATTTTTTTTATGAACTTAAGCTCAAAACCACTGGATCTAAGATTATATTCAATCATCAGTTTTTCCTGCAGATACTAATGCTCACCATTAGTGAGCAGAACTGAGCATAAGAAAGATATCATTATCTCTAGTTGGCTCAGTATCTGTTTCATAAAAGAAGCTATCTTTTGTCATATACACATATACACATAGCCCTCCTCCTTTTTTATATATATATTTGCTTGTGGATAATCACACAAATAATGTGCATAATCACACTGCTTCCATCCTTTTTTTTTTATTTTTTCCACAGTATTTGTAAGGATTACTAAGGATATTAACTCTGTGCCAAGAGATTCATAATATTCCCATGAAACGTCTTTTCCTTCCCTTTTCACAGTAATTTTCATTCAAATAGACTCTGTTTCTTCTTTGCCCTCAAATGTAATTTTGTTATTTCATTATTGCTTAATAGTCTTTATTTCTTAACTCTTTGGTTATTTGGTCTTTGGTGTACTAATATGCAATTATTCTACCATCTTTTTTTCTGTCTTTCCTAAACAGAATGTTTCTTTCATTTCCCATGTACTCCACCTATGACTTTGGTACGACCATGTTTCTTTCTCCCTGTACTGTCTGATTCCATGTTCTAGATCTGTTCAACTCTTATTGAGTGAATCACTACAGGTAGAGGACAGACATATTGCAGGTACAGCTGATGTAAGAATAAATGAGGTACCAAGACATACACTTCTGTTTACCTATCTTTTCTGTAATTCCATCCTCATTAATTTTCCCTCTCTTTATTTGTATTCCTTATGAGGATTTAATACGTTATTCCCAACGTTGCCCTAGAAATTTTCAGTTTAAAGGTTTCTTAGGACCTCCATCTTAACTGAAAAGTGGAAGCTAAATTAGCAAAACGCTGTTACCACTGTGATGGTAATAAAGACCGCTTTGTTTCCCATAAATTTAGTAACATTGTTTGCTTTTCTCACTCTCCGGATTATAACCACAATTCCAGGTCACAGTCAGACACAACTTTCCACTACCACAATACTTTCAGACTATGAAGTCTCCATTCAAATAGCAGATCTGAATAGGAAAACTGTGCCCTCTCATGCGATTCATGGATATTGAAAAAAAATATTCTGCCAAACTCTACAGCATTTTAAGTATAGGCACCTAAATAGAAATATAACGTTAATTGGAATCAGAATGAATGGAACAGTAGCATGATAGTTCCACACTAGTGACTATTTAAGCCTCATGTGTGCTACCAAAATAATCTAGCAGCCTAGCAAATGGAAGATAAGATTTTACTAAATCAGATTTTCTATTCTTTATACTTTTTAGTCTCACTACCACAGGAACATAATAATTAAAATGTATCGTATGTGTAATGTTCCCTTTTACATCATAGTTTTTAGCACTGATTCAGATTTATGAAACAGCAGTGCTTCCAAAATGATTTCATTGAAATCGTTAAACTCAATCTAGCTGTTGAGGTTATTTAAAATAGTCTTTTATATGTACCAATAAAAAGGTATTTGTATGTGTATGTGTGTGAGTGTATATGACAGAGAAAAACAGAAGCAGGAACATCACAAATAGGTAACTATGACTTAGATAACTAAGGTTTAAAAATGCAATCATATGTACACAGAATCTCATATATCGAAAGCACAGAATTACGATTTCAAAACAAACATCTTCTTCAAAACTGGTGATATCCTAAGAAACTTCTGTAAAACATCTTTAATATCTATGAATTCTTTTATTTATCATATTTCATAAGAGAGATTAGAAATGTTTTAAATAACATCAATAAAAATGTGCCAAGACCATAGTACAAGCTTGGTTTTGCATTATTTCAGAGATACTTTAATAATAGAAGCAGATACTTAGTTCCCCTGAGAAACTCCCCAAACCTTTTGCAAGGGCAAGCACACTACCTGTTTCTGTCTAAACAAACAAATATTATGGTTCATATGTGAAAGTTGTTTCTCCTTCAGGTCTCAGATCCTGCTTATTTCAGGCCTCAGAAAAGAGCATTTGTGAGTAGCTCCCCTTTTATGTCTGAAAAGAGAAGGATACACCTTTGGGGAAGGCTGATTTCTAACTAAACTAAAGGTGATTTTTTTACACCTCTTCCTGGGCTTAGCATGTTTGGATGTTAAAGTACAAGCTGACAGAGCTCCACTGAAAACACAGATATATCTCACGCACCGTATGCAGACCCCCCTTCAGTCTTTTATATTTGAACTCGCAGCACAATCGGGTCTCAACACCGCGTTTCACTGCAAGGTGGTTTCCAACCTGTGCTGCGCGTACGGGATACACCTTCTGCATCCATGTATGCCTAATGCATCTCCCATTTACATATCAACATGCGCAGAGCGCATAACACATGCAGACAGACCTACTCACAGCTTTGCATGCATGCAAGTAAATATGCATTTTTTTTCATCCAAACGCCTGTTTTCACAGGGACCAACACCGCCTAAACTCGAACACCACGACGGCCTCCGCTCGGCAGACCCCACCTTCGCAGCGCAGCAAGAGGCC